TGCTGAACCCAGGCTCCATGTGACGCTGCCACTTTGAAATACTGCACAGAGCTGGGGTCAGCTCAGGACTCCCCAGCTGATCCTGGGTTCCGCGCAGCATTTCCACAAAACCCGGGATCAGCTGGTGTTTCAAAGCGGCAGTGCCGCACGGTGCCCTTACTGGGCACCATGCAGTGCTGCTGCTTTGAAGTACCCCGTACTCCCTACCCTTTGCTGCCTCTATTAGATAAAGGCAGCAAAGGGATGGGGGAGCAACTAGTCCTTAACATCCTTACCTTGTTCTTTGCCTTGCTAAGCAACCAGTGTGTTCTTTCTTGTGTCTACAGATGCAGCTATTATTTTTTTCTTCTTTTCTGCAGTATGTTTGTGTTCTACACAGACAAGTTTTCTTTTGGACTTGTTCCCCCACTGAAGAGATCGCCCCAGCTGGGAGTTTTAAAAACTGTGTTTCATGTCCATGACCCTTCGAGCGATGAGCACCAACAGTGCTTTTACTGCCTGGGAGAAACCCTTGTTGTCTCTTTCCTACCCCTACTGGGGGAAGCCAGGGAACTGTCTCCGTAAATTCCAGAAGGAAGAGACCATGTGCCCAAATGCACCAATTTGGTTCCACCAAATGGGGCTGCTGGAACCACCAGAGTGGTGTCCATTGCTTTCAGTGAGCATTTCTCTGACTTCTTTCTGGGCGTTGGCTCTGCCAGTACTGCCACAATGTGTCCAGTCCCACTATGAGTATAAGAAGCAGAGACATGAGTACGAATACACTGTCTTCAATATGGACACACTCTACTTACTCCTCCACCCAAATTCATACCCAAGGCAGAGTTCATGTTCCACCTCAACCACAGCACCCACCTCACAGTCTTTTATCCCAAACCCTGCAACTCCAACAGAGCCACAACACTGAACTCTCTCTATGTCTGCCATCCACTGGCCGCACACGGGGATTCCATGCGTCACCCAGACTCCTCACCGCCTCTGCCAAATACTGCAAGGGCCAAGCCCTCTCCTCGCAGCACATCTCCAAATAGATCCCCTGTTGCATTTACGATTTCTATGTTCTCTCCATCATAATTCCATCTCCTGGAGTCACGGTTCTCGCAGATGAGCACAACCTGCCATTCTGGCCAGCCTTGTGGATGTGCCCAAGGCAGGACATTTGCCAAGAAGCTGTGTGGTCCTCTGTCCACACCGTCACCACTCTCTATGCCACGGACGGGCAAAATATGGACCATGGGCTAGATCCAGCTCCCTTAGGATAGATGCTGGGGCCATATGCTTCTAGGACAGTGGTCAGCAACCCGTCAATTGCGATCGACTGGTTGATCGTGAGGCCTCGACCAGTCGATCATGAGGCGTTCGGGCACACCCACCCCCCATTTTCCTCCCACCCCCGAAAAGCCCCACTACCTACCTCTAGTGTAGTGCTGGCTTCCCGTGGGGTGGACGGAAGTTCTGTCTGAAGCCCGCGTCACTTCCGGGGGTTCCGGAAGTGCGCGGACTGCTCTCCTCCCACAGCTCTGTTGCATGCTGGGGGAGGGGGCATCTGCCCTGGAGGAGGAGTGCGGCGGCTTCCCTGTGCCACCAGCGCTGGAGGGATGAGTTGAGCGCAGGGGTTTCCCTGTGCCGCGGGAGCGGGGGGTGAGCCCCGGGGTTTGGCCGCACTGCGGGAGGAGAGGGGGTTGGCTGGGCCCGGCCGCGCCATGGGAGGGGGGTTTGGCTCCGCCTCGGGAGGGGGGGATTGCCCCCGGGAAAAGCTCCCGCAGGAGTTTGGCCCTGCCGCGGGAGGGGGGGAGGTTGGCCCCGGAGCAGGCAGGCTGGGGGTTTCCCTGAG